TGAACTTTTCCACAACATTCTAATTTATTGAGATGCACCTGTATAATATAAATGATATAAATATAAATATATACATGTAAATATGTCATTTTTTCCCAAATATATAGGTGTATGCATGTGTATTTAAATATACATAATAAATATGTACAGTACACACAAATTATGTAAACAAAACTTTTATTTTGGATGCGATTAATCGCAATTAATCATTTGACAGCACTAATATATATATATATATATATATATTGTATTTAATGTAATGTATTTTATATTTATTAAATTTTATATTTTTATTTATATATATATATCTTTATTACTATAATTATCATTTACACTATATATAAAATAAAAATGATTTATAATTTCTTCATTTGTACAGCAAGGTATTGTTCTGCATTTTACTCTTTTCTTACCTTGTAAGATGGAAGAAGTTCACCGATTGTCCTGAATTTGTGCCTTTTGTGTTTTTCTGAATCTCTGCACACTAAACACAGACTCCTTGTCCTCCACACAGAAGAGTTTGAGATTCTCGCCATGCAAATCACAAACCTCCTCAACGTTCAAGAAGAACTCACACAGGTTCTTCAACACAAGATTTCCAGGAGGATCAGTTTTGGAGGATCTTCTCCTGCAGACCGGACACTCCCGAGTTCTCTTGCTCCTCCAGAAGTGTTGAAGACAGTCTTTACAGATGCTGTGACTGCATGACAGAAACATGGGAGATCTGAAGACCTCACAGCACACAGGACAAGACAGCTCTTCCATTTCAGTTTGTAAGAACTCCAAAAATCCAACTCCGACATGAACACCTCAAGCCCTCTCAATTCCTCATTGTTGTGCTCAGGTACTTGGTAGACTCGGCATGACAGGAACAAAGAAATAAAGCCACTTCCTGATATGTTTTGTAAGAGTGTGTTTATGATGATCCTGTTTGCATAATCAAACTGAATGCACTGCAAGGATCATGCAAGAAAACAGTGTGCAAAGACATCACACCATAAAATATTAAACTAACATTTGACACAAGAATATTTTTAAATGACTAGTTTTTAATAGAAAACTCTTTTCCCTCCATGCATGTGAGACCTGGTTATTCATTATGCATGCATTTGTAAAATATAATTTTTGACAGTTTAGATGACATAACTTTACATCAAAATGACAAACTGCCATTTTTACAGTGTTACATACAGCCATACATTTTCATTTCATTCAGTTAGAAACCGTGCAAGTGTCTAAAATCATCTAGGCGTGAGAACGGAGAGCTGTTGCTATATTATATATAAACATTTCATTATTTACATTTTTTTTAAAAAGAGCAGTAAATATTTCAAATAGCTGAAAGGTTCACATGCAAACTCATTTTCAAACCCATACTTACATTTAAACAAAGCAAAACAAACTAATTTACAAAAATAATCAAAAGGTTAACAGAATATCCAGATCTAAAAATGTTGAACTCGTCTGATAATAGACATTTAAAATTACATGATCAAGAAACTACGAAATACATTAAAAAAATAACTCTTCATTGTCAGTATGAAAATAGTCCATGGGTGTCAGAAACAATCAGGCCAAACCTTAAACGGTATGCAATACACAATGATGAGTTTTAACCAGTAGTGTGTCACATCTATCACGTGTCATGATCTTTGAAAGAAATACAGATGTTTTAGCTGATACTGGTTCAGTGGTGTGTCTGATACAGTATCAGAACATACTGTGAACATAGTACGAGTAGCACGCTATTCCAAACATAAGCAGTGATGTCGAGACACAGTGGAATGATTAAGAGCAGATTTAAAGACAACATGAAATCAGTCCATTTACAGTCTTACTAACTCGTCCATATCTGACATAACTTATCTGTTCTGTTCATGTAACTAAAGTTCACTTCATAACTTAACATGTCTCACCCAATTCAAGTCATGGGGCCAGTTGCATAAAAGGTTTATACTAGTCTTACAAGTTAATCATCTATTTTTGTTTCTTTAAGACTGGTCATATGTTTTTAATGTAGCTACATAAAAACCTAGATAAGTCTACATTGAATACAAAAAATAAGACTGATTACTACTTGGCTAACTGCTAGCTGGTCGTTAACAAGTTTATGCAACTGGCCCCTGTCCTGTATTATTTCCCACTGAATAATACAATAAAACATTTAATATAGATTTTCAAATGTTTGCTTTTCATCTGACAATTTGTTGTGGAATGAAATACAAAAATAAACTTTTAAAAAAAGAACATTTCTCAATTTTTTGCTATTCATCAGATAATAGATTATGTTGTCGATATAAAATACTAATATATTTAAACAAAATAGATTTACATTTTTTGCTTCTCATTGGATAATGGGTGATGTGGGATAAATAAAATAAGAAAATAAATACAAAATGAATATTTTTTAAACGTTTGCTTTTCACTGGATAATGGGTTATTATGTGGAATAAATAAAATAAGAAAATAAATAAAAATGAATATATTTGTAAATGTTTTCTTTTCATTGGATAATGGGTTATGCAGAATAAAATATAATTTATATTAAATCAGATAATGGGTAGGATGGGATAAATACAATAAGAATTTTTTTTTTTTAAATAATAGCTTTTTTATCAGATAATGGGTTTTGTTGAATTAAAAAAAAATTAAATTTGTGCATTTCATCAGATAATGAGTTAGGTTTAATAAAATAAAATATATTAAATTGGATAATGGGTTGTGTGGGATAAATAAAATAAGAAAAAATATTTTTAAATGTCTGTATTTCATTGGAAAAAATATCTATCTATCTAAAAACAATATATTATTTCTAAAGGTTTGCTTTTCATCAGATTAACTTCCATTGTTTCACTTTCTGTTTCACGTCACATTGCAGAAGTTAAAGGCATTGCAAATGCAGTTTCATGATGTCTTTAACTCAGTTTAGTTTATTTTACACAACCACTGATGACAAACTATAAAACCTATCAAATGTCCATGTTGTGATGATTTTCCCACACTAACATGGTCATGCTCTGCGGTAGGGAAAGAGGTCCATCTGTTGAATGCGGCTGATGTTGATGTTGTGGTTTAGTAGGCAGGTTTGTAGAGCAGGTGTCCACTGAAGAGTCTGCGCTTGAGCTCCTTCCACAGCAGGCTGCGCTCCCTCTGCGAACCCTTCATGAAGCCGCGGTTCTCCTGCGCTCGGCGCGATAGGTACGGGATGACCTCGTTAACCGGGCCGTACGGCACATACTTGTACACCGGGAATCCCGCCTGACCTGCTCACAAAAGCACAAGCATGTCAACACCAGCATCAGAATCAAGACATTGCTCCCTCCCACGCTGCTCTTCTCTCCACTCACCCAACGGGAAGCTGATCTGATCACACATCCCCAGCAGCTGTCCAAAGCAAACCTTATTCTCAGTGGGAGAGAGACTCGTCTCGTTCATTCTGTGCAGAAAAACACACGTTAGCGATAATCGATCTCTGATCACGCCGAATGCATTTTGGCTCTGGACTCACTTTTCCAGTGTGAATTTGACCGTGTCCTCATTGTGAGACGCCACCATGACGTTTGCCATCCTGTTGTGGTTGATCTCCTCCAGAATGTACTCCAGACACCTTACAGACAGAGATCAGGGTTCGTGAAAGCTTCTAGGAATCGATCAGTGACAGATGAATAAAAAGAAGTAATCCTAAAGTATGTGCGTCTGTTTGTAGCAACGACTGTTTGTCGAAACATTCCCCTCACAGTGTGCGTGCAAATATTTACAGTGTTATTATGACGCATGTTAGTAACGTGATATTGATGGACAAAACATGCCTGGCACAGGCAAACAGGTGTGTTTGGTCACGAATACAGTATTCATCTGAGACAAGAGAGAGAAACTAAATTATATGTTACATTGTGTGGGGCAAATGTGCAGGATAGACACAGATGATTATATAATTCATCATGCAGAATGCCAACGGGCAGGGTTCAATCTCGGGTCATGAGAATTTACAGGTTTAAAAAAAGAAAAAAAAAAGAAAAAAAGTTTGCTTTTCACCAGATAATGGAATAACAAAAACAAATAAAATGTATATATTTCAACAATTAATATAATTTAAAATTAGATTTCCATTGTATAATGGGTTACGGGAAATAAAATAAAGTAAAATGTTTGCTCTTCAGTAGAATAAAAAAAAAGATGTATATATATATATATATATATATATATATATATATATATATATAGAGTGGGGAGAGAGAATATACACACCCCCATATATTTTTCTTATATATATTAGTGCTGTCAAACGATTAATCGTGATTAATCGCATCCAAAATAAACGTTTGTTTACAGATTATATGCGTGTGTACTGTGTATATTTATTATGTATATATAAATACACACACATACAGCATGTTTTGAAAATATTTATATGTATATACATTTATATTATTATATAAATATATTTAATACATAAACGTAACCTATTTTCATAAATATATGCATGCATGTGTGTGTATTTATATATACATAAATATACGTAGTACACATATAATGTAAACAAAATTTTATTTTGGATAAAAAGTTTTGTATTTTATCGATTGGATGCGATTAAACATTTGACAGCACTAATATATATATACTAGCTTTTCATTGTATAATGGGTTATGGGGAAAAATTAAATAAAATTTAAATTAACAGTTAAATAATTTATATATTTTTAAATGTTTATTTGTCATTGGATAATGGGTTATGCAGAACTAATGTTTTTTCTGTTTTTGTTTTTTTAAAAAGCATATTTAAACCAATAATATATTCTCAAATATTTGCTTTTCTTTAGAAAATGGATTATTTGGAACTAAATAAAATAATAAAATTAAACAATTAATACAATTCCAAATTGTAGCTTTTCATTGTATAATTGGTTATGGGGAATAAAATAAAAAGTTTATTATTTTATTTAACAATTCATATATTTGTAAATATTTGCATCAATAATGGGTTATGTGGAATAACGTAAAAAAAAAAATATATATATTAATTTAATACGATAATAGATCATGTGGAATTAAATAAAATACATATTTAAACAATATTACTAAATGTTTGCTTTTCATCAGATAATGGGTTATGTGGAATAAAATTGAATAAATTAAATATATCTTTAAACAATTAATATATTTTTAAATATGTTTTTAATTGCATAATGGGTTATATGGAATAATTTTTTTTAATATTCTCTTTTCGTCAGATAATGGGCTATATGAAATAAAATTTAAATATTCATAAGATAATGGGTTATGTGGAGTAAAACTGAATTTTAAAAAAGTAAATATATTTTTAAACAATATATTTTCAAATATTTTCTTCCCATCGGGAAATGGGTTATTGGAACGAATATATTTTAAATATTATTTTATCATATAATAGGTTATATAGAATAACAAAATATTTAAACAATATTTCAAAAACATATCAGCAAGAATTAACAGCAATGAATGCACAGCAGTCAAATTATGAAAATGCTGACTATAAATAATAGTGCGGTTCGAGTTTTCCTTCATTTGTAGGATGTGTTTTCATTGCACGGCACGTACTTGTGGTACATCCTGTTGGTGGTCTCATAGTCGGGGTTGATGGGATCTTCATATCCGATCTCTGCCGCGCGAGATCTCTCCTGACACATGTACGCTCCTCTGACCAGTTTCGCACCGAAGTACCAGCCCTCCCGCCGCGACAGCTCCACATCCACCGACACGTTATCATACGCCTCCTACACACACAGTGCTTGTCATGAGACTCACACACACACAGACTAACTAAATAAGTGCCATAAAACCATTAGAGAGAGATGCACAGAAGGTCTTATGCAAGTGCATCTCAATAAATTAGAATGTCGTGGAAAAGTTCATTTATTTCAGTAATTCAACTCAAATTGTGAAACTCGTGTATTAAATAAATTCAATGCACACAGAATGTAGTAGTTTAAGTCTTTGGTTCTTTTAATTGGGATGATTTTGGCTCACATTTCACAAAAACCCACCAATTCACTATCTCAACAAATTAGAATACTTCATAAGACCAATAAAAGAAACATTTTTAGTGAATTGTTGGCCTTCTGGAAAGTATGTTCATTTACTGCACATGTACTCAATACTTGGTTGGGCCTCCTTTTGCATGAAGTCCTGCTGGAAAATGAAATCAGCATCTTCATAAAGCTTATCAGCAGAAGGAAGCATGAAGTGCTCTAAAATGTCCTGGTAGATGGCTGCGTTGACTGTGGACTTCAGAAAACACAGTGGAACCAAAGACTTAAACTACTTCAGTCTGTGTGCATTGAATTTATTTAATACACGAGTTTCACAATTTGAGTTGAATTACTGAAATAAATGAACTTTTCCACGACATTCTAATTTATTGAGATGCACCTGTAGTGCTTTTACAGCATTGTCATCATGATTCATTCTGTGACAAAAACAAAATTATAAATCCAAATTGCAAATTATGAACGACCAAAATGGTTGCATTTTAATTTGGGTCCGTTCCTCATTTCAATTTTAAGTACTGAAAATTTTCATTGGAATGTCATTTTTGGAGCAGCATGAATATTCTGTTGTACAAATAAATAATTACATTTATTGTAGTTTTTCCTTTTTATTTAGATTTTTTAAAAATATATACACACATTAATTCTAAAAATGTACAACATACATATTAGAATTTAATATCAATTAGAATGAGAATGTCACTAACGTTAAATGTTAACAAATTACATATATTCTAAATCATTTTTATTTTGCGTTTTCAGTTATTTCATTAAAATTATTTTAATTATATATAATAACTGTACATATATACATATTTATTTGTAATTACTAAATTCTTATGAAAATCATTACAGTTGCTTTTAGCACTAATATATTACTTGAAATATAAACAATAATTACTTTTTTAATGAACCATTATAACCTTTACTCAGACAAATGTAGTCTATTCCATGGTTACAGAGTTTCAAAACAGATCTTTAAATCAATTTTAGGTATCAAAAGAAGTTGGAATTGGACACACAAGTCAGATGGATGACTTTTTTCAATGCTTTTATGTCATTTTTGGGGCAGCCTGAACATTTTGCCAAACATCTCCTTTTGTGTTGCACAGAAGAAAGGAAATCTTACAGGCCTGACATAACATAAAGATGAGTAAATAATGACAATATGATTTTTGGATTGACTGATCCTTTAGTGATCCATATTATGGCAGGATAAATGAGAAATCTGGGTGTGGAAGCGATGTGAATCAGCAGGTTTTGAGGGTGTGGACGCATGTGTGTGTGTGTGTTTGGCAGGAACTGAACTGTGTGTGTGTGTTTCAGCGACTCACTCTCAGGTAGCACTGGTAGGTGTTGAAGATGTTGGGTTTTTCTCTGTTGAAGATCCTCTGCATCTCCAGAGTGAGCCTGCTGATGGCCGGCTGGAAATACGTCTGCTCTGCGTCCACCATCAGCCTCACGCCGTTCACCACAGCGTGCTGGAACAAACACACATGAGCTTAGACAATGCCTTTCAGCTGTAATAATACACTTCAGAAAACACCGTTACATAACCAGACCGCCTGCAGGACACTTTTACAGCTGGCACGCTCAACAAGACTACTACGACTGGAAACTAAGAGAGCAACAAATCACAATAATACTCTTCATTTCTCACACTGAAAACAGGTGAATAAGCCAGCAAGATAAAGATACATTTCACACACACACACACACACACACACACACACACAGTTCCAATTATTTTAAGATTTTTTAAGGTATTACACTTATGTAAAAATTTAAATATATATATATATACACACACACACACACTTTAATGAATTTAAACAAAATAATTTAGATAAAAAACAAATAAATACATTTATGGTATAGTTCTGGTATATTTTACTTATTTTTAAAAATGTATTACGTATAAATAAATTTAATTTATTATTATTAAAAATAATTTAACAAGTGTAAAAATATATATATATATATATAAAGATAATTCAATAATAATAGTAAAGTTTATTAATCATTTATAAATTATATTAGTTATTAATTATCATAACCAATGATTTAATAAATACTAAAATAATAATTATAATGAATATTATTTTTTTATTTGACATTTTATTACATTAAAATCATTGACTATTTTAAATATACATAATTCAATAATTAAAACACAGATTTTTTAAATTTGATATATTATTGGCCTCTAAAAATCACTGTGATCTTTACAAGTCTATTCCGTGGACTGTTTCAGTTTCAAGAATTCACATGCTTTAGATAAATGACCTCAGCATTTGCAGAGATAAAAACTCTTTCATTTAGACCTTCAAATGTACAATTGATCTACCATCTTCAGTCTGTCTTTATGGAGATAAAGACCATAACTTGTTTGTATTCAGTTAACTGTAGCTTCCTTGCATTTGACATTGTATTTTTAAAACCATTTCTCTCTATAGTGTGTTTTTCATACTCGTCAGTGTTTTGTGTGTTTATCTCACAGAAGATAAGAAGTCAGTCTTGTGACGCTGAGAACAGGCATTTTAAAAACCTCCTGAGCAAGGAGAAGTTAAAACAAACTGACGGTGTGCTGTTTTATTGTGACTTTGTTTTATCGTCCACCTGATTACATTCCTGTGTTATTCAATGCTTAAACTGGGCGATCAAAGAGAAACGTCACACAGCAGTCGAGGTTAAAAAGTACTGAGCAATACTTTTCCACCAGAACTGCTTCTAACGAGAGTTTATCTACCAGCGTCTCCTTGGTCAAGTGCAGATGTGCAAACACAAACGAGATGGTTGTGCGATTGTCTAGTTTTCAAATGCTTAAATGTAGTTCAAATATTTTGAATTTAGTGTCATTTATTGTACTTACCATGACTCTCTTTCTCAGCCTCAGAAACACAGGAGCTGAAAAGCAAGGCGAAAAGAATATGATAATGTGGAAAGTTGTGCTTTAATGATGCTAGGTCAAGTTTCTGCAAATGTGTCACTGTTAAACCAGGACATTTTACACCTGAGCTCCTCTCAGCCTTGCTAAAAAAGGTGATAAATTCACTGGGGGCCATTAAATGATGCAACACACACACCGAACACTCTGCCAGAGACACACACACACAACACAATATTCTACACTCGGCCGGGAACCCGTCTGATTCCCAAACGCTTGCAGTCACACACCGTGCGTCACTCACTTTGCAACACGAGTCTCAGTCAACAGACTGAATTAATCTAAAATCAATTTCAGAGCAGTTTCGAAATTTAAAGGAGGATGAAAATTCTTTTTTAGAATTTAAAAAAAGTTTTGCTTCTCTTTGTTGCCAGTCTGGCTGTGAGGGAAATTAAAACAATCCAATGCAAAAAAAACTGAAAGTGGCAACACTCTGATGCAAAAGCTCAAAGTTGAAGCATGTGAATGGTAAATATGTCAAGTATTTGACCCGACCTTCTGTACAAACAAGACATGGTGTTGCAAGCGTTCATACTGCAGCATGCGCTCGTGAACTATTATGAACCATTTCAATGCTGCAAATACTGCTTGCAAAAATGTAGATATTTTTAACGGAGACGAAATCTTTAATGATTTTTATAAAGTAAGCACAAGAATAACTTTTATATTCTTAGTAATATTTCCAGATGAACACTTACTGGACTGAAGCAACTTTACTTGAGTAACTTTTTTTATATGTATTTTATGTAAGAATCTGTTATAAAGATCTCATCTTCCTTTTTTGTCCATATAAATATCAGCATCTGAACCAAATTGCAATTTTGTAATTTTCTTTGCAGTTTGATTAAAATTGAGCCGTTTTTTCTTCCTTGATAATAAGCTCTATTCTTCTATCATACTAAAGCCATAAAAGCCTGATTTATCAAATATAGCACCCAAATAACATATGCAAATGTTTTTGTCTAAAGGTTCAATCATTTTCCTGACTACTATTGCATAGGTCAGGCTTTACGTGGTAAAAACAGCTGACGAAATTCTCATCAAAGTGGAAATATATACCTCAATAAACCACAATACATAAGATAAGTCACATGAATGTCATGCCAGATACCATTTCAATAAGTCACATGATAAAAAAAATAATAATTCATGCATGTAGCACAAGCAGAATAGTACAGATTATACTTACAGATAGAGGTTTGCCTTAACCTTAAAGGGGTCATATGATGTTGCTAAAAATAACATTATTTGGTGTATTTGGTGTAATGAAATGTGTTTATGCGGTTTAAGGTTCAAAAAACACATTATTTTCCACATACTGTACATTATTGTTTCTGCGCTATGCCCCACCTTTCTGAAACGCATCGATTTTTACAAAGCTCATCGGTCTGAAAAAGCGAGGTGTGCTCTGATTGGCCAGCTATTCAGTGCATTGTGATTGGCCGAATACCTCAAGCGTGTGACGGAAATGTTACGCCCCTCACATACTGTTGATGCCCTGTCAGGTCGGAGCGATGATTCATCATTCGAAACATGAAAACCCATTATAAACGAGGCATTCGTTGCATCCAGTGGGGACATAATTATGGATTATAATGACTTATACTGTCTTTTTACGCGTTGCGTTGCATCGTGCCGCGTAAACATAAAACCATGTCTGCATTTGTGATCGGAGAAATGACAAACAACAAGTGCTACTACTCTACACTGCCCAAAACTCATGTTTGAATCATCAGTGGCAAATTCTTTAGCGTAAACATAAAACCATGTCTGCATTTGTGATCGGAGAAATGACAAACAACAAGCCCTACTCTACACTGCCCAAAAAACTTGCTTTAAATATATAAAATATAAAAACTCTTTAAATATAAAAAAACGTACTTGCAGTCTGTGAGTCAGAACAGCCGGCATTGTAGTCTGCTCTACCAGGATCAGTAAACAGTTCTTCATAAAATGTGCTGCACACATCTCAATATTTGGGTTGAAGTGTTCTGAAACAGTGTTGTAAATACAATTTAACCACTGATTTCTAGTCGTGTCCATTTATGAAAGACCAAACAAAGTAGTTTCGCTTTCACAACGAAACAGCGTCACACACAGCGGCCTACAGTGAGCAGAGGCGGTGGGCTTGAGAACGGCGCAGCCGGCGATTTCGACGAAGGAGCTGGACTCCGCTTCGTCCACGGTGAAAGCCAATTTAAATCACATCATATGACCCCTTTAAAGATGAAAATGACTAGCCTAAAGCAATCTACTTTTATTGCCTTGAAGCTGATTGCATGTTGTAACTGTTTTTATTGAAGTATTGTTTCATGTTTGTTTCGGAAACCACAGGCTGTAAAATGTTCTCAGCAGCCCAATGATTTATTACAGAGAATAATATCTGTCTTGTTTTTGAATATGTTATCATTGTAATGCAAGGTGTAATTCCCTGAGAGAATATTCTAACTGCATACTAGGTCTAATCTTCCCCAAAACACCTTACATAACATTTGCAGCATGTGTGTGTGTGTGTGTGTGTGTCTGTGTGTGTGTGCGTGTTGTTACTCAGCAAACTGGCTTTTTTTCCTTGAACAAGATGAAAGCACATTCCCACGGGGAGTGGGATGAAACAAGCTTCCCTTTTGTGCTTTTATAACCTTCCTAAAAGAAATGCATTGAACTAGCAGCTCAAAAAGTATTCCTAAATAAAGAATTAACCTCAGTGCTTTTCATAATTCTGGCTATCTGCGCCACACCTTCAAATGTCAACTGCTCGTGACAGGCTTTGAGTTACTCAACATGCTGGCCTGGATTTCCTAGTTCAGCCTCATGTGACTGCATTCTGTGAGGGAGGAGGATAAAACACCTCCCTTTTTTAGCCAATCAGGTGGTGGGCCTTGGCCGAAACTGACCAATGGGGAAGAAGGTAATGGGAGACTGTTTCCACTAGTGCAGCCAAGAGTGTAGCAAGGATTCAGTGGCACTGACGAGTCAAAACTCTGGCTGCAATTCAATGTCATGCATCTTTTGTTCTCTGTGTAGGACGGAGGAAAGGAAAACAAGGTCTTGGGTTCATACTCACTCCATCTCCTTCTTCTCAGCCTCTTCTTGAGTCAGGTCCTCCTCCACGCTGTAGTCCAGAACCGAACCCACGCCAAACGCCTGGTTCTTCTCGATCAGAGGTTTGATGGTGTTCTGGTCCTCGCCTGCCACAAACTGGCCGTAGAAGGTCATTTTCATCAGTTTCTCGAAGAGCTGTTGACCAAAAACCTTCTTGCTGAGGTCCATCAACTGTGGAAGGAAAATTGAGGAATATAATGTAAATTAAACAATGCTACAAACAAATTGCCTAGTGTCTGAAAACAAACAAACATGTTTAATATAACTGTATAATATAATTGTGAATATATTTTTATTTGAAATAAAACTTACATGATAAGATATATATTTTTATAGTAAGGTATAAGGTTATATTTTATAAGGTTTTTTTTCAGCTAGTATGATGTAGCCTACTTAAACAAAACTGAAATAAAAATTTATAAAAAATAGATAGACATATAAAAAAATTTTTTTAAAAAAGACTAAAAATGACAAAAACTAAATTGCTAAAACTAAAATTAGAATGAAAATGAAAAAAGACACGCACACATATATACATATATATATATATATATATATATATATATATAGAGAATAGGTGTATATATCATATAAACATTATACTAAATATATATAGATAAACGTAGACATAAATGGATAGACGTATACAGCTGAGGTCAAAAGTTTACATCAGAATCTGCTAAATGTTAATTATTTTACCAAAATAAGAGGGATCAGACAAAATGCATGTTATTGTTTATTTAGTACTGACCTGAATAAGATATTTCACATAAAATATGTTCCCATTTAGCCCACAAGAGAAAATAATAGTTGAATTTATAAAAATGACCCCATTGATTCTTAATACTGTGTTGTTACCTGACTGATCCACAGCTGTGTTTTTTAGTTTAGTGCTAGTTGTTCACGAGTCCCTTGTTTGTCCTGAACAGTTAAACTGCCTGCTGTTCTTCAGAAAAATCCTTCAGGTCCCACTAATTCTCTGGTTTTCCAGCATTTTTGTGTATTTGAACCCTTTCCAACAATGACTGCATGATTTTGAGATCCATCTTTTTTCACTGAGGTCAACTGAGGGACTCATACTATGCAATTATTACAGAAGGTTTAAATGCTCACTGATGCTTCAGAAGAAAAAAAACATGCATTAAGAGCCGGGGGTGAAAACTTTTTGAATTTGAAGATCAGGGTAAATTTGAGTAAAATATGTGACTATCATATATATTAAATTTCTCTATATATATTATCAAATACATTATATGAATAGATGAATAATAGACAGATATCGATAGATAATATTTATTTGTAAAAAAAAATAAAATAATAATAATAGTAAGAACTGAATGAATAAAAGTAACCAAATTATTTTAATGTGTGCATTCAAATAACACCAAAAAAAAGTTACATTTAAGAAAATAAATAAATAAATAAAAAGTAACATTCACTGCAACTAATGTAACAGAGTTCGCTACTTTTTCAAAAAGTCGAAAGTAACTCGCCTCTTTATTTTTATCAACCAGGAAGTCAAAGGTGCAGAGTTTGAAGACCAGCAGACTCCTGAGGAGCTCCAGCGTGTCTTTGCTCTTGTAGGCTTCTTGTGTGTTGTCGAAGTCGATGGAGATCCTCTGGCGCTCCGTGTGCGCTTTGCGGCTGATGAGATCCACCTCGCAGGGCTTCTCCACTACAGCGCAGGACGGATCCAGCGGCGCGTCGTCGCTCTTCAGCTCTTTGTGCTGCGTGGATGCTGCTGCGGTGGAGCGAAGCCTCGCGCCAAACAAGTGAGCCGGCTTTACTCTGGCCACAGCGGGTATTACTTTACAGTAAGACATGTTTATGAAGTTAGGTAGACGTGATAAAGGAAATATACCAGTGCTTCTTGTAGCGATGGAGATTTCTAGATGAATGAGGTGGCAACACCCCAGACTGGAGGGTCATTCAAGCGCGCTTAAAATATGCTAATGTATGGCAGCACTCTGAGTTGTGATTGGCTCACGATCTGTGACGCACCGCACTGGCCCATTGCGTCACTGCATATACTAAAGTTACTTGTACTAAACACCTGATATATAAAGATTTTTCTTTACTTTGGGAAAATGTTTTGTTTGGATTTG